AAATGTATAATAAAAACATTAAATAAAATGATCTTATTTTATAATTAAATATGTACCTCTGAAAATTGTAAATATCAAATGATACTTTAACTCCGCAGCAAAAATTGTGAATATTTTGTTTTAATAATTGCCCTAAACTGATAACTTTAAAAACTGTTAACTTAAACAGCCTCATAAAGGCTATCAAGCGCTAGATGAGTAAAACATGGAAATCATATTTAATTGCTTTACACATGTCAATCAAAATGATAGATTGTATTTTGAACGAGCATAAAACTACCCTTAAAACTCTCTTTATTTTGTCGTGTTAATGACTAGGAGTAAACTAATTTGCTTTAATCAAGCTCTTTAGTGAATTTAATTCATATAAATAAAATAAAAAATATAAAAGTTTACAAATATTTTTTTTGATATAATGCTAAGCAATAATTTAACTACTATAATATAAATATAGTTCTTTTTTATAAGAAATTGACTGTTTATATTTATCAGAATTTTCAATAATAATGTTTAAATATGCAGTTGTACCCCGGTATAACGAACCCCTATTTACCGAATTTTACGATTTAGCGAATTTTATGATGTCAATGAAGTAGATTTATAGGAAACAATGAATAGCAACTCTAACACAGAAGTCGATGATAATGAATTGAAAACTGTTATTTTTTCTGATGCTTGGCGTGGTTTGGAAACAGTGAAAACTCACCTAATGCGGCAAGATGTAAATGAAGAAGGATTTTCTTCTCTTTGAAAAAAAACTTTTTAAAGTAAGAAATCAAGGAAATAAGAAAACATTACTCACGAAATGCTTTGAAATTAAATTTCAAATTAATCAACGCGTAATCATTCGCTGTATTTTAAGTTCTTGAATGAAAAGTGTAAGATTTCCATTTATTTTGTGTATTTGCCTATTAGATATGCTCGAATATGCCTCTCTAATAAGCAAATACATAAAAAGTGTATTTGCTTATTAGAATTTCATAAGGTTAGTAAATTTTTTTTAAATTAAAATAAAATAAAAAAATCGATATGACAAATTGTCCCGGATTTAGAAAATTATATTTTCGGTCCCCATGAATTCATTAAATCGGGGTCCGACTGTAGTTTTTTAAATTTTTATTTTATTTTTTGGCGTCGCGAGAACTTTAAAATAAGATCAATTCTGAAGAGTGGTTCGGTCATTGAACTGATTTTTGTTTATCGAGATATATCTATGCAATGATACAAATAAATTTTAGGAAAAATTGCATTTTTTAAAGTTTGTTTTTCTTGTGGTTTGCATTACCAATCTTTACAAATATTGGTTTACTACTTCAGTTTTGGTACATGCAAAAGTCTTGTAAAAGTACATGTAAAAGTGCACCAGATTTCTTGAATACTTTTTCTTGAATCATTATTATTATTCTAATCAATTTATTTAGACAAAAATAAATAAATAAATAAATGATTGAATTTTTTTAGATTTTTTAAAGTGTCATAAATATTTATTTTCTTAAACCTATTTTTTTAGTTTTAAATTATCTAACATTTGTCCGCTTAAAACTCCTGAGAAGTGGTAGTTTCCTTAACTTTAGCCATTATTACATGTCCTTTAAATGAAATTTAAAATCTTTTTCCGATCTCAAATCGCCTACTTTGGTCAAAAATAAATCTGTAGTAAAAAAAGCTCAAATATAATCATTTTACCAAGGTCTTAATTGAAACAGCAAAGACTCTTTAATTGCCCTAATTTAATGTTATAGAACCATATTGAAGAATTTATAGATTTTTATTTGTTAAAAAATAATATCTAAAATGATCCAAACTTTGAAATAAACTTTGCATGATAGAGAGAAAACATATTGTGTACGGTATAAAATGGAAAACATAATGCGTTCGGTATGCGTTCGGTATAGACACTACCGTCTGAGCAAAAATGTAAAAGTGAAATGATATAATGACAGTTAATTTGCAGATTCAATAACCCCCCCCCCGAAAAAAATAATGAATGTAAAATTAATGTAAAAACAACGATGTAAAAGTAAAATTCAAGTAGTACAAGATTACAAGGGAGGTTGGCTTAAAGATATCCAAACAATGATAATATGACTTTTTATAATGTACCATTAATTTCAATGAAAAAAACCATTGTCTTTAAAGAATACTATCTGTATTTTGCTTTTTCCTTTGCTCTAAAATAAAATGTACCAATTTGATATCTTACTAAATAAATGACAGTGAAATATTAGTTAAGTATAGCATAAAGAGTTATTTATATATTTATGTTTCAGATGAAAAAAAAATTGTTACAGTTGCATATTTTGTTAGATAATATGCATACACTTATTCCTATTAAACTTTATGATACAAAATGTTTGGTATGTTTGATGTAAATGTAAAAAGACCGAAATAAATTATGGACATAAAATAACCACAAAAAAGCAGAAAGGACAAAAATAAACTACTCAATTATGTAAATAGTAGGTACTTTCTGAATGTGCTTCGGTTTGGTCGTACTATTTATTTTTTTAACTGGTAGTACGTTAACACCTTGTATTTGCTTCGACGTGCCCCCTCTCATATGAATCATCATTGTGAAAAGTAAGGATTTATCGTTCTTTTTCATATTTCCTTTTATCTTTTATTTTTTTAAATTTATAATTTTTATACATTTAAAATTTTAAAATATTTGTATTTAACTATTTTCTTTTGGTACTCTTCTGTATATATTTTCTGCAATGCACATAACATGGACGCTGCTTGGAATGGTAAGCGTTTTAAATAGAACATGTGTATCTCAAACACAAAGCACTGCCGCAACACAGTGGTGAAAGCTTTGAACATCTCTTTCTGTTGTATGGGTCTTAAACGAAAACACTGTAAACTATATAATGCACAGTAGTAATATATAATAACTAATTGAGCAAGCATTAATAAAATGATTTAAAATGAATATTGCTTTTTGTTCTTCAAATATGTTTTAACCCTCTCTAGCAAATACGGATATCGTTTACAACACCATGTTCCTAAGTGGATTTTGATTTTTTTTTATACCAGCTTTCTCCTTCCATTTTGGCCATGTTATTTTGATTTCCTCTGTATTTTTGTCTATGAGAGAAATGTAACTTTAAAGTTGACGTTTTAAATGCATTTTTTTTTGCTACATAACTATGGATTCCATACAACTTTAAAAATTAAGCAATGTGTTTCACAGTGAAATCTTACATTATAAAAAATTTCTGATCAAATTAAGGTAAAACGTAATGGCATCCAGAGTGCAGTGTCAATAAAATCCATTTTTACCGCAAAATTTCAATCCAAATTTTTTTTAGCAACATTTTTTTAAAATTACATTTATTCAGTGATTCTACAGTAAATATTACTATAAGAATTATGGTTTATCATTTTGTTCCGCAAAACTTTACGATAAAACAAATTTTACGATAAAATGTACTGACACCCTGATTGCTGGTAATTTTTAGCGTAATTAGATCAGGAATGTACAGTGTAAAAGAAATTCGTTGATTCATTTCACTAGGCTACATGAGCTAGGCATTTACTAGCAGGGCACTGACCACATTTACAGATGCGCTGCTGCCAGTGTTGTGCGAAACGGTGAAGAGAGAATCCGGATCGATTCTAGGGTCCATCTTGATCTTTCTTTTTTTTTCGTTAATAAATAAATATATTTAAGTCTCTTTCTTGAAATAATATTGGCATTCGCAAAATAATTTTTAAATCTAAAAATACAGGCTTCATAGCGCAACTTTAAGAAGTTAACTTTTTAGTTCCGCTTGTAATTTAAAACTTAACTATGATAGCCTAAATATGTCATGGCCATTTCAGAAAAAAATACAGCTCAAAGTCTGTAACGCTGTTTTAAGGATGGTTGCTCGTAAAAACATTAATGTTTTACACAAATACTTTTAGCGTTAAAATTTTTTAAAATTAATTTATTTAAATGGCCCCTCCTGATTTTGTACTAAGTCTATCAATAAAGTTTAAAAATATTTTCAACTAAAGTGCTACATGAAAAAGCACTATTTTAATGGCAGATAATCGTAGAAATATGTTTATCACCGAAGATGTGTGTTTCAAGACGCGAATTAACAAAATTTAGTTGTGTTGTTGTTTCTAATGCCACTTGCCTTTATCAACAAGCCTGCTGAAGGACGAATTTAAAGGCAGAGGGTGGGTTTCTTGTTTTTCAGTGGCGCTACCTATGGCCAAAGATGCTTTAACCACATTCAGCTCACTTACCCGTTTATGGGGTGGATCCATTCAAACATCCATTAATTCAAACACTGATTTTAATTTTGATTTGAACCAGAGAACGATCAAAGTCAAATTCAGTACCTCTGAAGTATAATTTGTTATGTGTACATGGAGGACTTTGTAACGTGACAGATTTAACATGCACCAGTCATCATTTACGCGGGTCCAGTCATCATTTAGTCTTCGATCAGCGGAGATCGCACCCGCGACCAATTGGGAACCAGACTATCCCCGCCTGCATTATTTATTATGTTTTCAATGCTCGTAGTACCGTTTGAAATTTAGCCTCAAATTTCTCTCAATGATTACCGGAAGTCTTCTGTGCTTTTTTTTATAAATAGTTACAGCTCATGTGTCAAATTTATTTAATTTTATATACGCCATTTTAAACATGACATATTTCAAACAATTGATTAAATTTTTTGTACGCCCTTTGAACATTAGCACAGAAGAAATATAAATATGTTTTAATAATATAGGTTTTACAGAACCAATTTGTGATGTTTTAATTTGCTTGAAGTTTTTCTTTGTGTAAATACTAAAAATTTCCGTGTGTAGTATTTTACTAGATGACTTCAAAATGTTTTTTTAAATTTATTAAAAGGAATTATGTATACGAATAATTTAATACAGAGTAAATTATATTTACTTTTTGCAAACAAAATAATAATAAAAATAGAGAAACTATTCATCTTTGTAAGTATGCTTAGTAGGAAATACATTCCATTCAAAATGGTACATTTGAAGTTAGATAAAATACATTTTATTGCACATAAATTCTTTAATTCATACAACACTTATTTTACATTACTATTAAAAACAAAACACTATGATAAGATTTCAACAAATTATAAATATACAATTAGAGCATGCGATTTATTTGAACATTTGTATTTTTCTATGGGTATTCAACAAAGGCAAGCTTAGCATAGTGTCTCTAAACGGATATGAGATGGAGAAAAAAAGAATATTTCTAAGTGTCAGACATTGAATCAAATATTTGTTGACATATTAGAGCACACTACATTTATGACATACATGTGCTTCTTTCATAGTATATTAATTGAAAAACGATTTTCAAATGTATATATTGCAATACGTTTTTTGGAGTACATAAAAATTTCATCAGACATTAATGAAGTCGAATACAGTGTAATCAGAACATTAATTTTTTAGTACATCAGTCAAAAACGTAAAAATTTTTTATGTAAATAATTTGGAAAAATCTTATTGGTTATTAAAATAACATGGAAAATTTAAGAAATGTTTAAAAAACATTAAGATTTTTAATTTTATTCATAAAATTAATAGTTATTCTTGATCAGAATCAAGTAATGATGAACACTAAAGGATAAGCTTATAATTTTAACGATGAATACGAGATAATTTTTTTATACTTTCTCCATATGTTGTTTTTTACATCTGTTCACCAGATAATAGATAATGAAGTGCTCGACGATATCTGAAAAATAAAAAATATCATAAATAAATTCGAAAGTGTACAATATATTTATATACAGTTAAGTGGTTCAAACGATTCCGAAGAAAGAGTTATGTTATTAGAAATTTTAACAAATTCAGTTTCTTTGAAAAAGTAGTACATTTGAAATTCGATTTTTCAGGAACTATTCATCCAATTTCGCTAAAATTTTGTATTTTGTCCTGTTCAATTACATACTTTAAAATTATACGAAAAATTGTATATCTTACGATTCAAAATTTTTTCGACTATTATTATATATAAAAAAAATACTTATTTTTTTGTATAGAATTTTCTTTGGACAAACAAATGTTATAACTGTATGCAAAAATTGTTCAATTCGTTTAAAAAGTTCTCAAGATATGGCGAAATACACAAAAATTAACATTAAGGAGTCTAAATTTTGGATATGTCTCCTGACCAAAATGTGGGGACTATATTTCCCAGGTTGCAATTACCCCCTACAATTTGAGGGTTAGAAATCCGAATCCGTCGGAAAAAAAGGTATGTTTATTTAGAGAAAGTACGTTTTTTTGTCTGATTTCGTAACTCAAAATATGGTCTGCTCTATTTAATTAACATATTCGAGGTCATGACCTCGAACTATTAAGATTGAGTCCCAGAAAGTGAAGATCCGATCTTTAAATCAAAATTTATTCAGGAAGGTCAGTTTTTTTGACAGACTTAACATATATATGGGTCATTCTCACGAAAACTGTCATTTTTCAGTTCATAAAATCCCAAAAAAGTAAAGTGAATAAAAAGCTCTGAAACTTTTTATNTTCAATCTTTTTTCGACTATTATTATATAAAATAATAAAAAAAAAATACTTATTTTTTGTATAGAATTTTCTTTGGACAAACAAATGTTATACCTGTATGCAAAAATTGTTCAATTTGCTTAAAAAGTTCTCGAGATATGGCGAAATACGCAAAAATTAACATTAAGGAGTCTAAACTTTGGATATGTCTCCTGACCAAAATGTGGGGACTATATTTCCCAGGTTGCGATTACCCTCTACAATTTGAGGGTTAGAAATCCGAATCCGTCGGAAAAAAAAGGTATGTTTATTTAGAGAAAGTCCGTTTTTTTTGTCAGATTTCGTAACTCAAAATATGGTCTGTTCTACTTAATTAACATATTTCAGGTTTCTGACTTGGAACTATTAGGATTGAGTCCCAGAAAGTGAAGATCCGATCTTTTCATCAAAAGTTATTCAGGGTGGTCAGTTTTTTTTGACAGACTTAACATATATATATAGTTTAATATACTAAAGAAATCAGACATACCTGCGTTTCTTTCCTGGAGCCATACTACTTAACCAAAAATCTTGATCTTTTCCTGTTCCAGACACGTCTCCGTAGTCGCAGTCCATTCCTGGTAAATTGATTGCGCATGATCGTTTCCTAAATATGGGAAATTTTTTTTCTTCAAAAACATAGCTTGAATTAATAACTGAAAAAGCTATTAAGTATAATTTAAACTTTATTAGCAATATGTCGATTTGCTTTGAGAACTCAAATATTTTTCCTTAAGTTTTTTTTAAAAAACAATTTTAGTTTTTCACGGAACTGCAGCCCCAGGTTTGTGGTTTTTGAATTTTTATTTTATCTCTCACAACTTACAAAATAGAGTACTGAATATTTTTTGAAAAATCTATATGCAGCTGTTTTCTAAATTTAATTTTAAGTGGTAATGAAAATTTTTTAAGAAAAGTATTAACTGTGGCATTGAATCAATGATTTGAGTCACCTAATTTGAATAAAATTTAATAATGATATAAATAAATCAATATACTCGTACAAAATATTAACATAATCTAAAAAAAATTGTTTTTTTTAATAGATTTTTTGAATTTTTGATCGAATAATAAAATCTAAAATAAAAGTATTAATTCTGGTATTATAGTCATGAATAATCCTATTATTATTGTAAACTTTATTATTAGTACTATCAATATGAATTTTGTTATTATTAATAACCCTATTAATAATTTTAATCATATTGTTATAATTTTCATTGAAACATTAAAAAGAACATTGAAAAATTATCAGGAACCTTGCTTGTAAATGAAGTTTTTTTTATTAATTTATTTCTATTGTACCATGAAACGTCAGATGGGTCCTACTATGTATTCTTCCTATTGTCTATCTTTGGTCTTAACAGAATATGGTGATTCGCCACTATCATTTAACTCAAGCAGTATCCCTTTAAAATACAGTCTGCAGCAATAGCGGACAGAAACAGAGCACAAAGAATTAGTTTCTGTTGTTCTGCTTAATAGACTGTTTAATTTATTTAAGCGTCTTCCTGTTGGTATGAAAACGTCGGTATCAATTTTGTCTTCATTGTCATAATTGTTTCATTCATAATTGATTCGTACCTAACCAAAAATTTGCACAAGCTCACAAAGTTCAAAGCTTTTGGTTACCATAGAATAAAAAATAAACCAAAAATATAGTAGGTTTATTGCATTAGCAATCTTAATTAACCTTTTCGATAATAGTTAGGAGCCCAATATGAGACTTGACGAAATTCAGCACAGATCACAAAAAAAAACACAATCTAAGAGCTTTTTACGTAGATTAACACCAATTAGTAATCACTTCAATGACGACTTTTTCACAATATTATATTACACCTAAGTAAGACTGCTGGAAAAATACCTATCAATTTAGCTATTGCTGAATCAAAAAGAAACATGTGAGGAACAAAATCTCCCCATTTTAGGGTAAATTACGCGTAAAACTACGTATATTGTAATTGAGCTGATTTTTTTGAGAATATATATTCAATAAAAATGACGTTTTTGAAATTAGATATTAAAAAACTCTATGGAGTTATAATCTAAAAAGAGTGTAGTAGTGAAATTTTTTTGGTGCAATGAAATATTCTTTTAAAAAATTATCTACATTCAAATACTCATATTTATAATAAATATCGCATTTAAGTAAAAAAAAAATTGCTTTAAAGGCGTGTAGAATTATAAAAAATTGTTTCGCGAGAAGTTTTTTATTACAAACATTGGATAATTAAGTCCGAAATGTTAATATGTCTGGTTCAGTGACAACTTGCTCCTTTTTTAGTTTAAAAATCGATGATAAACTTCAGAATAAGTTGAAACAAGAATGTTAATAAAAGACACATCACTCATGACAGCAATATATCGATAAAAAAACCGAAAATTTTTTTAAAGAGATTGCATACCATCCATCTTATTTTTCGCAGCAAATACTGAATATAAAATTTATAAAAGAAATTGCGATTTACCGTATTGTATGCTTTGTTTTTCCTTTAAACAATTTTGTCTTGTAATTAAAATGTAATTTTAAGATTTAAAAACAAAGCTTGAATTGTATTATCAAAAATAGTTTGACCACGCATTAAAAGTGTTTGTACAGTGACAGCTAAAAATATTTTTTAGTTAAAAGTAAATAATTATTTTTATATAGTTAAAGAAACTTTTAAAATATTTGTTCCATCAAATTGGATTTTCCAGTTGGGAAATAACGTGCTAAAATTTCCCACTTGACTTTGCATTTACTTTCATCTTGATTATAACATCTGTCTTTCTGGCGTTCTTCAGAAGATTCATATTAAAGTTTTTTCAGGAGGGTAAGTAGGGCATATGCAAATATTGCTAAAGCAATATTGTATATCGAAGCAATATGCCAATATTACTTCTCAACGCACTTTTTCTCAGCATGTAAACAAGATATTTCTTCAGTGTTTTTCACAGAATATTTACATACACATGTTCACACTTTGATAATCGTTAATACATATCTTTGGCAGTATTTTTTTTAATCTTGAGCTAAGAACTTTTAAATTTTTTAATTTTTTCTCTTCATGACTAAATAAGTATTTCTAGTCACGTTAGAACTTTATCCCAGCATACAACTGATATAATCTCAAATATCCCCCAAAAAAGTTCAAGGCGATATCATATGTAGTTTCTTAGAAAAGGTACATCGAAAAAGCTCAGTTCTGATATTATTGATACATGCTTTACAGACTCCCCTTGACTAATTCAGAGTTCGTAACATTCTTACTATTGTTCAATAATTCTGTTTGCTTGCATGAAATTTAAATATTGAAAGGTAACACAAAAATTAAATAATACAGTTCATAAAGGATGTGACTGGGAGGCGCAGTTAGTTCGTCGTCGGCCTTCTGAGCCCAAGTCTGCGGGTTCGATCCGCGGCGCATGCAGAAAATCCTCAGCGGCCATGTCGTATGATTATGCGGCATGTAAAATATCCCTGGAGTGCCTTATTGGCTCTTGGTATTTCAGGCGAAATTAAATTACTTGTGCACATTAGCTTCCCAATAAAGTCTTGGTGCTGCCATCTAGTGTGGCAGAAACTAGACGCCCAAATTAACATGACCAACGGTATCTCACCCATTGTGGTGGTCCTGAAAAAGTGGATACCACTTCTGGAGAACGCATTAGGTCTGGTCATCGGGAAGACTGATTGCGCAGCTCATAGGAAATAAAAAAAAAGTTCATAAAGGTTTTTTTTTTGTGGTTTAAGGTGAATTGTTCTCCGAATGGTAATATTCAGTGTATAATCTGTACCATGATCTAGGATGTTATTTTGCTTTGTTGTTTTGCTTTATTTTACAATAAATTTAAGTATAAACACATCATGAAAAGAATATTTTATGTTAATATTTTTTCCGTGCTTTTTCATGAACTAAACAAAAGCAATTTGCTATGGTACGCAAGCATAAAAAAGAAAAACTAACTTTCTTCTCATTTTATTTAAAAAACACCAAACAACAATTTTCGAACTGAAGCAGAAAACAAAATGAAAAGGGTAGTTAATAGAAAAAAGTGCTCTGTCTTCAGTTGGAAAAAGGAAGTATCTCCTTTTAACCAAGAGGTTTTAGATATACCGCCAAATTTTTTGGTGTAAAAGGGTTAAATCAACTTCATGCATTAAGTAGGTTTAAGTAGTTCCTCATATCCACACTAAGCTGTTAGTGTCAAAACATGTCCTATTTCTTAATTTTAAAAATTTTTTTTGGACGAAACTTTTTAGTTTGTATTTCAAATAAAAAGAAGAGTGGGTTAAATAAAAAGTGAAACAACATAATAACTTTCGATTAAAAGATTGAAGAAAACGATCAATTAACTGTGTGCAAAAATATGGATAAACGTCAAATTTCTTAATTAGTTAGTGCAGTTGATATTTAAAATTTTAAAATATAACACAAATACGCACTTATTTTGAACATACATATCTTTTTACCAATAGATTCAGATTCCTGACCCTCTAAATATTTAGGGATCTGGAAAATTGAATTGTTTAGTCAGGTGAGAGCGGACAAAAGTTATAACCCTTTAATCTTAAAAATTCGATTTTTGTATGTTTTGTAGTATCTTGAACGCTTTAAGCGAATCACAAACTTTTTGCCTGGAATTGTAAAACTTATTCTTTCAAATATAATTCTTAAAAATATTTTATAAGTAATTATTATATTTTATTATTTAATTTATCTGTGTTTGAAAAAGTTTTAAATTGCAAGGTGTGTAATTTTTTTTTCTAAAAAATTTAATTTTAAACGACAAAACCAAAAATATGTAAGGTGAAAAGTTTTTGAGAAAAAAAAATTTCAAAATTATGACGTCTTTGAAATGATGAAACTATAAAAAATGAAATTTTCATTAAGAGGCGCAAAGGTATGATCACTGTTTCAGCCAAATTATAGAAATAATAATTTGTGGATTGCAACTATCTTCATATTTAGAGAGTCTTGAATCCAAATCTGTCTAAAAAAAGTTGTTTATTCAGCTAAAGTACGTTTTTTTTTGTCTAATTCTATAACTTCATCGACAGAGTTACACAGTAAAAAATTCTGGATCAAATTACAGTAAAATCGTATTCTTAGCTTAAAATTCCTCTTTACTGTAATATGTTGCGAAACAAAAATCTGATACATCGCAATTTTTACAGTAATTACTAAAGTAAAGCCATTGAAACAATAAAAAAAAATATTATTCTAAAATAAATTTTACTGTTACGGATTACAATTTTACGGTAAAAATGAATTTAATGGTAAAATAGATCTTACTTTAATAGGGATTTTACGGGTGATGCACTCGAAGTTCTGGTACTTTTACTTAATTAATAATTTGATTCCGAATATTTTACAGCGTAATTTTTTAAAATTGCAAATTGCAGGCTGGGCATTCCTTCCTCTTAGTGCGTTGTTAGAATCTTAGAAAGCTGAAATCCAAAAATTAGATAAAAAATTCCGTTTTCCATTTTGCTCGCTAAACATTTATGTAAGTTGATAAATGTGAATATAAAAGGGAGTTTTTTAAAATCATGTCCTATATACCAGTTTTAACTCCCTTTCTAGGTTCGGTTTAATAATGTCATTCTCATCACCCACAAGAGAATTCAACCCTCAAATGCATTAATTTGTGTAAGTTTGCATAGATATTAGAAACTTAACGTTGGTGAAACTAGGCAATTAATTTATCATTATTGGATTCGCTCTTCAACGGAAACTATCCTTCTCTAATGAAACCTTTCTGTATAAACATCTTAGAGCAACTTTAAAATGGTGGATCTCCTTTCCCTTCAATTACTTGTAGCTAAATTTAGTTAAAGTTATCCAGATTAAAATGCTTTGGTTACAACACACTTAATACATAGAGTTAATTATAACGTGTTGATACATTTTAATAATGATAACATAATGATACATTTTACAAGGTGGATATAAGAATGAGAATTTCTGTAAACATAAACAGAAAAGTTTTATTAATTATTGTTTAATTTGTTCTTGATATTGACCGAGGAAATTAAACCAATTATACAAATGAAATATAAAAGTGAAGTGAGTTTAATTTTTTTTAATTTATAACTATATTAAAAGCGAAATATTAATCAAAATACACTGTAAAAAATTCCTGATCAAATTGTGGTAAAAAGTAACGGCACTCAGGGTGTCAGCGCTTTTTACAGTGAAATTTTATGGAACAAAAATATGATATAGCTTATAATTTTTACTGCAAAATCCCTGAATCACTGTAACTAAATAAATATGACTGTAAAAATTATAACAAAAATTTTACGGTAAAAATAGATTTTTCAGTAAAATTGGATTTTTTGGGCGTTGCACTCAGGGTGCAAATACTTTTAACCGTAATATGATCCGGAATCTTTTGCAGTGCATAAGGAACAAAAATGAAAGTATTAAAAGTTAGTTAAGTACAAAGTTAAGTTAGTTAAGTAGTTAAGTACAATTAGTAAAGTTAGTACAATAAAGTAGTATTCCTATGAGATCTGTAGCAAAACAAGTTTTTATGATATCTGGAGTTTAAAGCTATTATTTATTATACATTATTAATATTATTTTTATTAGAGTTTAAAAAAAAGCTAATTTGATCACATTATGAATTGTGTGCTTTTTAACAAAGAGTTACTGTTTATTACTTCGTAATCTTAAAATTGATCTGTTTACCAAGTATGTACTTTTTGCTAAAATTTCTCAATAACTTACACTAATAATGTATAAAATTACAAAAACTTTTTATCAATTATGCAGAAAAGATAATTGAACTTAATTATTAGAAGCTTATTTTAAAATATATATATATCCCCGGATTGATGCATTGATCAAAGGATTGTCATTCAAAATTCTACAAATTGATACAAATTATCTTCAATAAACTTATTAACATTGTGTTCATGCAATGAATATAATTTTAATTTAAAATTGTTATATGTAGGAATTATTTTAATGAGTCTAACTTTTTCTTTATTCAGTCATCATTGTTTTGCCTAAGGATGTAATGAGTAAGCCCGTTCATTTAGCATGTTACACAAAAGTTTTGTTTAATTTATTTCATCAATATCTAAGTACATTGCAAAAGTTTCCAAAACAAATTATTGTATGAAGTATTTTTAATTATTGTATGTGTGATACGCTTTGGAAAATTAGGTAAAGAAAAATTAAGAAAAATAATATTAAGAAAAATAAGAAATTTTGTAAAAATTACTGTATGTGTGATACACTTTAGGTGTATCACACATAAAATCCATTTTACTGTAAGATATTATACTCTATATTTTACAATATTACTTATTTAATTAGAGTGATTAAGTAACTTTACGGTAAATATTACTGTAAAAATTTCGTAATAGCAAATATTTTGTTCTGTAACATGTTCCAGAAAAAATGGATTTCACGGTAAAAATACCAGCTTTCTGTGTGCTGGTATTTTTCATCATAGAATGATCCAGAATTTTTTTCAGTGTAAACATATAAAAGATAATTTTTCTGTGTAAAATAAAACGTGTATTTTAATGCGCTGGATAAAACATTTTTGCAGTATCTAGTAAAACAAACATTACTGATTTTAACTATTTGGGAAAATCTGCTATTTTAAATGCAGTGATAAGATTGATTATACACTATTAACTGAATCAAAATAACAACTTACACAAAAGTTATCAGAAAAAAGTAGGAAATAACGAATTAATACCTGCCTATTAAATCAACAGTTTATCAGTACTTAATTTGTCACCTTCAAGATCTTCTCAATCAATACTGCCAGAAAATTTTTTATAAGAAAAGAAATGTCAGTTGCTATTTTCGATTGGTTATAATTAATGTGCAAAGATAAATGAGGATTCTTTTCCCAGATTTTCATTTCTTCTCTTAATATATATTGTTTTAGCCAACTAATTGTTCTTGCTTGTATTTATACGTCATGTTCAAATAATTCTTTCGAAATTTATCATATTTTCTCAATTTAAAAATATTATGAAAAATAACAAAGCAGTGCCAATAAGTTAAATGAGTAACTTTTATAATTGAAAAATCTAATTTAAAATCTAATTGTAAAAGCGCAAAGAAATAATTCTTTTACTTAACTGAACTTATATACAATAAGCAAAGAAGTAACTTCTTTTTATTTCCATCAATCAATACAAGATTAATCAATCAATACAAGATTAAAAGTTACACTGCAGGAAAGTACGGGTATCCTAAGTGCCAGTAAGTTTTACAGTAAAATTAGAGAAAATAAAATTAAAAAAATCCGTTATGCTATATTTTTTACGACAATATTTACTGTAAAAGCACTGAATAATTGTAATTCAATAAATATTACTCTGAAAATTGCGGTTTAAAAATTTACAGCAAAAATGGATTTCACAGTAAAATGGTTTTGAAGGATGCTGCACCCAGAGTGTCAATACTTTTTACCGTAATTCAACCTGCAATTTTCAACAGCGTATAGTAATAGATGTATTTAAAATTTTACATGGATATGTTTAATAATGCTGTATTTAAAAAGTTTTGTAGCATATTGTTAAAAACGTGAAAAATAAACAGGTAAAAGAAACTTTTTACGTATCAGCTTAGTTACACTGAAAAAAAAAATTCCTATCAAATTGCAGTGAAAATTACAGGTGATTGTCAATGCTTTTTACTGTAAAATCCAATTTTACTATTTTACGGAGTAAAAAAATTATATTCAGTAAGTCTTACAATAATATTTAATGTAAAACACTTAATCACTTTAATTAAATAAGTATTACTGTAAAAATTATGATATGAAAATTTATAGTTGAAAATTTAAGAGATGCTACATTAAGAGCACCAGTACTTTGAACCTTATTTGACTTGAATTGTTTTACAGAGTAGTTAGAAGTTAACATAGGGAAATGACTAGACCAAGACACATTTCTTGTTCGAATAAGATAAAAAAGATCTCACACAAGACTATCAATTTAATTTCTTTTTCAAGGTAAAGCGATAAACTCATATTTTTTAAAATTTCTGTGTTTATGTCATCGCTAAGAACCACGTAAGCTTCTAAAAAATGTTACTTACTCTAGTTTTTCTAGTTTACTGTCCAGATCTTGGAGGAGAGTTTTTATGTAATTCAACTGTCTTCTCTTATTGACAATGTCTCTGAGGGACCTTTGCGGAATAATAGGACTGAAAGAATATATGGTAAAATCAGTTCAAAAGTCAAATATGAAATAAATTTTTGCTTGAATACATAAAAAAATTGTAAAATAAAAAAAATGCTAGAACTAAAAGAAATCTTTATGAGAGGATGTGAAAATATGTAAGCAAATTATAAATATTTCTCAAAAAAATCCCTCGAGAACATATGGGAAAGATTCAAAAATAAAAACTATACGAAGGTAACATCAAGGATAACACTTTTAAACAATTTTTCAACTGTAATAAGATATCACTTAATAAGTTTAAAACTACTAATCTAAAGCACTTATAACATTTTAGTTGCTGAATTAGCAATGGATGCTGAAATATTTCTTAGGGTGCTAAAGACAAATTCATAGTGAAATGAGCATGTGATGATACAGGTTTTAGTACAATTAAATGATATACTTTTCTGGCGAGTTAATGATCTTCTCTAAAATAAGGAACTTTTCTTCGACCATGATTATTTTAACAAGGACCTAATAATTGGAGCATATATTAGATTAAACCTGTGTGAATCAATTTTAGAATTAGATTGCATTCACTGAATATTTCAAAGGTTCAAGTTCTCATTTACTTTTAATTGCGTTATTACATTATTTAAAATACATGCAGTCATTCGTTAGATCTTACTTAATCTAATTATATTGCCCATTGTAACCAATTGTTATGAGTCCCTTTACTGCAACGACTATCTCTGTTATTGATTTATATGATAAGGCCTAAAATTATGCTCAGTGAGTCACTAGGAGAGTTCTAAAAACAACACCAATTGACGCCATACTGGTCAGATAATCCATAAAAAATAAATAATTAGATAAAAAATTAAACGCATTTTAAAAAAACCCTTTTAATTTTGGGAGAGAATCATTCGAATATCTGGCTTGAGCAAACTTTTCTTGGAATCAAGGAGTTTTAAGATTCAACGTGTTCAGATGTTCTGTAGCTGAAGGCGGAACTGTTTGAATTAAATATCAATCCTGAGCCTCTGTTTCTGTTTCAAGATGCAACTTTATACAAAGGTTTCTGGATAATCACTGAACTTCCCCTAGTGATGGGTCACTATGCATATGATGTTTCGGTGCTTAGAGAATTTGAGATAGAAGATATTTATAACCTGCATTGGGAGCTTTATTGGATGCACATCTATATCGATGGCTTCTCTTGAAGGACACTGAAATTTCGGAATGGAGTATGCAACCTTCTGATCGCTATTTATACTCAAGTTAGAAAATGTGCAAAGAAGAAGTGGCTTCCATTTGTGTTTCCTGAAAAGTTTACCAAAGGTTGTTATCCTTTTTGACGGTAATTTTTTTTAACTCTGTTGCAGCTTCCGTCGTCTCTGAAATCTTTGGGTATGAAAAGCTATCGCTTAGTCTACCAAGTAGTCAAAAGGAGTTCTGATGTAGTGGATCCTAATAACAAATATTACAAAGCAACAATTGTGCAGAGATAGTTGTTTAACTTCAAGATGCATCCTTTTCGGGTGGAGGGATATCTTTTGTGGGTGAACGAAAGTAAAGGATGTAAAAGTAAAGCATTCTCGAACTGAACTGTTATTGGGAAGAATTGCGGTTCGATCCTCAGTGGTGGTTTGAAACCCAGCCAGTTTCAGATTGAATAGTACCAGCTTGTCAGGCAAGTAAAGTCTTCGGAAGGATGGGAGTACTTTCTATTTACCAAAGCCTGAACTGCAGCTTGGGAGAGAACAAAAAAATGGGGAATTTGACTTCTATGAGTGACCATTAATAACACGCAGGAGGCATTTTAGGTTCATAAATTTCTTTGCCACCATGCATTTTTTACTTTATGTTGTTCTCTTTAGTTCGTTTGTCTTCATTTTTTCTTAAACTTTGCTTTTATGAGAAGTTGTATATATTTGTTTTAAAAAAAACGAAAAAAAACCTAAATAAAAAGGGCAAAAAAAATCTAACTATAAAAAAACTTATCGAAGCAGAAAAATTTCGGAATGTTGAAAGCTTTATATTCGTGTTGATATAATAATAGCTTTTATTAATGAATAAAAATAATATTTGTTATTCTATCACGATATTTTTTATGCAATTTTAACTTTGCTTTTTACAAATCTTTCATATTTCGTTAAAAAATAATCCATATTATTTTCCTGTGTTCAAAAACCAGAATATGTAATTTTCATTTTCAAAACTAATTCTAATATTGCAATATATTTTACGTTAATTAAATAAATGCTCTTAAACTTTTTAAAAATTATTTACCAGAAAAGTATTAATTATAAGAAAAATTAAAATTAAATAAAAATTAAATAAAATTAAAAGTAATTAATTATAAGAAAAGTAGGTGTAATATACATAATTCTTTGAAAATGAATCTTAAAATTTTAATTGCTAAATCATTTGTAAAATTATATTATAGGAACTTGAACTGTGAAAAAAATATGATATTCCTTTAAATTAACTTACGTATTTTACTCGTTATAACTGTTTTGATCGCAGTAAAATTGAAAATTAATGTAACGATATACTATCTATAAAATTTCAGTTATTGTAAATAAATTATGAGTAAGATTGAATACCTGGATGAAAAAATTAACAATTAGAAGAAAAAGTTGTTTACTACCAAAGAATTCGTGGAAAAATACCTTTTTTGAAAAAAAACAACATTTCCACTTAAATTTTAAATTAAAAGCTGAAAAGAATGTTACATTACCTTTATAATTTTGTTTTTATATTTGCCAAAAAAATTTATAAAGAAAAGTACAATCATATCAAACATTTGCAAAACGTTATAACTATGTTCTTGGTAAATAACGTTACGGAAAGAATATCTCTGCTTATTAAAAATGAGAAACAAGCTACTCTAAGAAATTAATCGTATAATTAAAAGATTTTATTTCTACATATTGGAATTTCTTTCTTTCCTTTTTTTCTTCTAAGATTTAACAAAAAACAACTTTTTTGTTGTTCCTGATTATAAATCAGGAACAAAGAATCCTTTAAAATCTCTGCTTTACGAGAAGAATTTAGAGAAAAACAAGAATGGAAGTAAGTAATTTTCTATTTCCAAAACCAGAAGTATATATCGAAAAAAATGAAAAGCTAGCATTTAAACTATAAAAAGAAATCAACAGAAGAATTCATCTTACGAATTCCATTTATTAAGAAATATATATTTATTCTTCCAATTTGATTTGCTTCGTACCTTAAGTTCACGGCAGAAAAATAAATAAACTACTTTGAGCTTTGATTAAATGAATATTTGAGACAAAACTCTGTGCTCCATGTTAAGTCAGTTGACAAGCCTAATTCAATAAGTTGTAAATGATGACTAAAACTTTCTACTGAAATGAAAAGGTATGAATAAAGCGAACGAAGCATATTATGCATTCTTTTGAGAATTTTCTTTCGTCTTGATATTAAACATTGAAAAAAAAATTATGGAGGTTTTTAGGAAGGTATAATTTTATTATTTGAAGAAATAATGTCGTATTCTAAATTTTCAGATGTCTTGTCTACTAATAAGTAAGAAAAGTTATCTTTAAAAGAATGTGAAATAACTACTCAGAAAAAAATAGTATGGTCAAAACAAACAGAATATGGCAAAATTTACCATGTTTCTGATTCTATGTAAACTTCAAAATCCTCTGTAACTCAATTTGGTATTGGTTTTCGTAAAATTTACAATAAAATATGGGTTTATAATATATTATAAAACTCGGTAAATGTGATAAAATGTTGTAATTTTATCACATTTACTGAAATTTACTTTTAATATAATTTACTTTTCTACTTTGTATTTTTTATTATAAGTGTGGCAATAAGAACTATAAATTTGAAAATCGGAATTTCCGGTGAATAGTTTGTCGTATGCCTGTTTAGGCCTCTGCGATTGTTCCTGTTTTTCAGTGGCGCCATCTATGGCCAGGAATTCGACTTCTGCCACGCGATTCACACAACCACAACCCATTTATAGGGCGGGTCACATTCACACACAGAGGAGAAAGGACATAGAACACACAGAGAGAGAAAGTAACATCCATGCCTTGCCCGGGATTCGAACCCATGACCCTTCTGATGCAAGGACAGTTCCCTGCCCCCTACACAGGCCGGTAGGCCGATGAATAGTTACCATATCAAATGAAAAATTACCAGATGAATGGTTTAAATACCATATGCCTTGGTTTTATTAAATAGACTTATTTGTTTTACAAGAAATCAACGAAACAGTGAGTTAATTTTACCAAAATTATTTTCTCCGTTTAGAATGAATGAAACAGCAGATATTCATAATGATTGCTATGTTTTTGATTCATTATTTTGTAAATAATGTTTAAACCAAATTAAATTATTTTATATAACGCCATTTAACTTAAAACAAAATAATTTATAAATAAATAAAAGTCTGATAAAAATCAATTGTAGAAATCCTAGTATCACTGATATTGAATTTAAACAAAGAACTTTGAAAAATTATATTTATTTTTGCTGAAATCTTCAATTACATTGCAATAGCTCTTTCATACAATCAATATGAACTTATGAGACAGTTTAAATACTCTTAACATCAAATGCAAATAATAATCGATGCGAAATTCGCAGAACTTCTTAAGATATATTCCAAAAACAGCACATTACTACTTGACAATTGAAAAATAGAAAGATTCATCTCAAATGTAATCGATGAAGACACCATATAAAATCTTTGAGTGACATTGTAAATTTTATTTCTTTTGACTTACTATTGATGATTTTAAGTTTAAGTGACGTTTTTAGCTCTGAATGCGTAAGAACAAATAATCGATATCACTTAAAGTGTCGTGAAACTAAAATAAAATGAAAATTTAAATGTAAAAACAAATTTAAAAAATATTTAGTGACGTCAAAATTGTGAATAATTATTAAAATAAAATCTTATAAAAACTATTATTTTCTTAATATACTTTAAATTTTGTATTTTTCTGTTGAGTTTGATTTAAATTTTAATTTATGAGTCAATAAAATCACAATTGA